CAAAAACCCGCCACACGAGATCGGGTACTCGCGAGATCCGATCGCGAGATCCAAACCCGTGAGTGACTTAAAAAAATCTGTGCAGAATCTTTCCCAGCATCAACAACGAAACCGAGGCCGAGATTCGAACAGAGACGGATTCGAACATCAACACTACAAATGAAATCTTACCCGAACAGAGAGAGAGCAAGACAGAGACGAGGCAGTCGAGCAGAGGGGGAATAAAGTTGTGAAATAAGCCAGACAAGGCAGAGTGGAACAGAGACGAGGGAGGCAGATTCGAACAGAGAGACGGAGAAAATCGAAGGCGGAGAAAGAGGAGAACACCGAATAGATAGAGATAGAGACGAAGGGAGTCTGAGCACCGAAGACGAGACTAACGACAAGCTTGAGACGCAGACGACGAGACATGAAGGAGGCAAACTGAGACAGCCGGCGAAATGGACTAACGGAGGGAGACACATACGGTGGAGACGAACAGAATCGAGGGAGAGACGATGAGACGGCGAGACGACGGAAACAGAATCTATGGACCTATCCAAAAAAAGTATGTAGTGCTTCCACCATGGATGACTAAAAACAACTTCTAAGAAGGAACGAAGAGAAGACAAAGAGAGAGTGAGTCTTTGACAAAAAAAAAAAAAAGAAAAGGAGGTGAGAGGTTGACGACGATAAAGAGATTAGGTAGAATAAAATTAGGGTTAGGTTAGAATTAGGTATTTTGTAAAATTATTAAAAATAAAGGATATTTTTGGAATTTTTGAATATTATCGGGTATCCGCGAGATAACCCGTCAGAAAATCTTTAAACTCGAACCCGAACCCGAAACTCGGGTTTTTCATCTCGTTAAACCCGTTTTCTATCTTGTTATCTCACGAGTTACATGTTTTGGATACCCGTGAGACAAGGTACCAGTGAACCCGCGGGTCTCGGGTAAAAATGCCCAGCCCTAATATTATGGCATGAGAGGATGTCTGTGATGTAGCGTCGTTGCGTGAGAAGAGTTCCCTTACTTGTCCGGGTAACTTCAACACCAAGGAAGAAAGCTAGATCACTGAGATCCTTGACGGAAAAGCGTTGAGCTAAACGATCAATGAATTCTTGTACCGATGCATTGTGACTACCGGTGATAATGATGTCATCCACATAAACAAGGAGATAGATGACAACATTATCACGGTGGTAGATAAACAAAGAAGTATCAGAGAGAGAGTTACTAAACCCGGAGTGGAGGAGAAACTGGCAAAACTAATTTTACCATGCCCTCGGAGCTTGCTTAAGACCGTATAGAGCTTTGTGAAGTTTGCATAGAGATGAAGGATTATCTCGATCGATGAATCCCGACGATTGGGTACGATAGACATCTTCATGAAGTGTGCATTGGAGAAAAGCATTGTTGACGCCAAGTTGTCGTAGAGTCCAACCTTTTGACACGACAATGCTTCGAACGGTGGCATGTTTGATAACTGGACTGAATGTATCAGTGTAGTCAATACCGGGCCGTTTGTTGAAATCCCTTTGCCATGAGACGAGCTTTGTACCTGTCAACAGAGCCATCAGATAAACGCTTAGTTCGAAAAACCCACTTATAACCAATGACGTTGTAAGACGGGTGTGGAGGTACAAGACTCCAAGTGTCGTTGCGAAGCAAGGCATTAAACTCCTCCGTCATCGCACTTCGCCATTTTGGATCCTTCAAAGCCTGCGAAACACACGTGGGTTCCAAGTCTTGGGAATGGTCAAGAGTGGTGGATAAGGAGATTTTAGGGTTAGGTTTGGTGATGTGGTTTTTAGCCCGAGTGACCATTGGATGAGTGTTGGTGGTGACTAATGGCTCAGTGACGATTGGTGGAGGGTAGGCCGATGTAATAGGTGGACTATGTGAGGGATCTGAGAGTCGAGATGGTAATGGTGAGGTAGTATCATGCGGGTCACGGTGTAAAGAGTCTGACGAGGGGTCGTAGTGTTTAGTCAAGGGTGAATCGGTGTGTTCTGGAGATGAAGGAGCCAAACGTGGGAGCATCACGGGCGCTGATGTGTTTGTCGACGGCCAAGTCGGAACAAGTGAGGAGTGAGAATGGGAGGTAGATAGGGGTGATGTAGAACCGACGTTAGAGGCCGAGACGAGACGAGAGTAAGGAAACTCAGACTCGACGAACTCAACATGTCGGGATACATATAACCACGATGTAGCAACACGGAAGCAAAGAAAAGCATTTTGTGTAAGAGAGTAACCAACAAATATACAAGGTGATTGGGAATCAAGTTTGTGTCGGGAATACGGCCGAAGCCATGGGTAGCAAAGACAACCAAATGTGCGAAGTTTGGAGTAGTTTGGTGTGACAGTGAAAAGAAGCTCAAAGGGAGACCGATGACCAAGAACCGACGTAGGAAGATGGGATAAAACAGCACGTAGTTAGGTCTGCATGTCCTCTTGCCGAACAAGGAAGCCCATTGTAGCTATTACATAAATGAATGGTTTTTTGTTCGTGTTATTAGAGTAACGTACAATTTATTACGTACAGAATTTCCAGTAAAAATTCTAAATTTACGTAATAACAATGATATCTTTCTACACATACACCAAGATAATTTTTTGGTATAATTTTTTGGTGTATCAAATTTTACTACATAAAATTTGAAATTTAAATTACAGTAGCAATTTCATAACACAGAGATACGACCGATAAAAACACGGTAGTGCATTTGTTTTCGAACCTAATAATAGTTTAATGCAATACATTTCATGAGGGAGATAAGACTTTTGATTGTCTAACGTAGGAATTTCATTTGGCTGTTTTTTATACATAAAGCATCATGTTACATCAATTTAAGCACGTGCACGTCACTTTTTTTAAAGATCTTTTTCTATTATTATTATTTGTCCAAATTATATATATGTATGAATTAATGTATGTATATGTATGTTAAATTTTGATGTTCTTACAAGTAACATTATATAAATAAAATTATAAATCTCCGGTGACCAATATGCAAAGGAATTTGGTGTATGATGATGGTGATCTTCAATGATCATTCTATACATCTATCTACCGATTATTTATTGGTTTTCAACAACCATTTAATCGTATTATGAAACACATTTTCGTTATTTATTTTGGTCATGAGTTCGATTCCATTCTCCAACAAACCTATATGTGGTTTACATGTTTCACGTGATTTGCAGGTGATTGGAATAAGAGAATTTATCACCGCACCCAAAAGATTATGGTTGGATATCCAACTTTACCAAAAAAAACACTACAAGAAAATTCTCGTATAGCTACGGAACTTGCGACGGAAAATTCCGTCATACAAAATTACGATGGAATACGACGGTTTAGCGACGGAATGCGGGAAAAATTTTTACATCTCAAAGAGTCGTAAAATCCGTCGAAAATTTGCGACGGAATGCAACGGAGATGTTGCCGTCGCAATAACAAACATTATTTGCGACGAAAATTTCCGTAGCAAATGCTAATTTTAATTATTTCTAATTTAATTTATTTATTTTTCAGAATTAGCTACGGATTTGCGACGGAAATTTCCGTCGCAAATACTAATTTCATTTATTTCGTTATTTTCGATGAAAATTTTCAAATTTTCGCGGTTTTTATTTCGTTTTGCGACGGATGGCGTCAGTAATTTCCGTCGCAACACGAAATAAAAGCACCGACTTCGTCTTCTTCCTTCAGACTTTGAAGTTTCCAAAAAAAAATCTTAATCTTCTCCAATTTTCTTCCAACGTTGTTTTCCTTCAAAATATCTCTAAGATATATCAAAGTATGTGTATATGTATATGAGTGTGAATATGTATATATGAGTATATATGGATTATATATATATATATTTTGTGTGTGTATATATGTGTATGTATATTTTGTGTGTATGTATGTTTATGTGTTGTTAATGTGTGTGTATTGTATGTATGTATGTATGTATGTTTGTGTGTGAATGTGTATATATATGTGTGAATGTATATGTGTGTGTTTATATATGTGTGTAAGTGAATGTGTATGTATGTGTGAATGTGTATGTGTGTGTGTGTTTATGTATGTGTATGTGTATATATGTGAATGTGAATATGTATGTGTATGTATATGTGAATATATGTGTATATGTGTGTGTTTATGTGTATGTGTATGTGTTTGTGAAATGTATATGTGTATGAGTATTTATGTATGTGTATATATGTATATGTGTGAATGTGTATGTGTATATAGGTGTATGTGTATGTGAAAATGTATATATGTACGTGTATATATAGTATATAATTTGTTTATATATATTTTTTAAAAAAATTTTAAAACATTTGCGAGTCGCAAATTGCGACGGAATTATCCGTCACTTTCCGTCGCAAAACGCAGATTTCTTCCGTCGCATATTAACGACCGTTATACGTTTGCGACACGCTATAGCGACGGAAATAAGTCCATCGCATTCCGTCGCAAATTCTTAATTGCGACGGATTTCCTTTGTATTTGCGACGGATTTTTCCGTTGCTATATAACTGTTTTCTTGTAGTGAAAATGAAATATATATAAATATTCATCCAAATTTAGATGATTTAATGGTATAAATATTTTTGTTTCAGATTTAAATCTAAATGTCATGGAAGAGATATTCATCCGGATTTGTGAGATAAATTTTCAGAATATTAAAAAATATATTTTTTTCTAGTTTTTGAAATTAACAAAAATATGTGCCACGCAAAAAAAAACGCGTCAGTAAAAGAAAACTAATAGGCCTATTGGACTTCCACACGTGACTTCAAATAAGGTCCCATAAAATGTAGGTCAACGGTCAACGCTACGGAGAGAAAAAATGGGCTTTTTGCTCTAAATAGTAGGCTTTAAGTGGGCCTTCAGGTAGAAGCCCATGTAACGCTGGTGAATGGTCATCAACCAATCAGCGGAGGAGGAGGAGTCAAACGTCGTCGTCTTCAGAAAATAGAGCACCACAACCCAAAAAGCAGAGATTTGAGATTTTATCTTTTTTCCAAAATCGAAATTGGATTTCTTACTCAACAAAGCACTTGCGAATCGCTATTCCAATAACCGCTTGACTGACGTGTCGCTGGCCCCACACAAAAGGACTTGGTATTACTGATTAATTAATTTATAAACGGACTCGGGAGGTTTGTTACGGTGTTGCGCGAACCACACTATCCCGATATACCCCTCTCCCCCTACTCCTCACCTCTTCATCTTCGTCTCCGCCGTCTCTGTCTCTGCTTCGTCTTTACCTCATCCATGGCGTCTTGCGCAACCGACACGGCGGCGGCTCTCCGAGCAGCGGAGTGCAGGGACGGAACCGCCGCGGATCACATGAAACTGATCTCCATCTTCGTCATCTTTGCCACGAGCGCCGTTGGAATCTCTTCGCCGGTTCTCCTCGCGCGGTATTTTCAGGGGAAGCCTCTCTACGACAAGGCGGTTCTGGTGATCAAGTGCTTCGCAGCCGGCGTCATTCTCTCGACGTCGCTCGTCCACGTTCTCCCCGACGCGTACGACTCGCTCGCCGACTGCCACGTGGCCTCCCGCCATCCGTGGAGGGATTTCCCCTTCTCCGGGCTTGTGACGCTGATCGGAGCCCTAACGGCGCTGTTGGTCGACTTGACGGCGAGCGAGCACGTCGGACACGGCGGCGGAGGATCGAAGGTTGAGTATTTGCCGGTGGGGGGGAAGGAGATGACAGATGGGAAAAGCGGGGCGGATTTGGAATTTTCTGAAAGTAGTGAGGAGGAAATGGTGAAGATGAAGCAAAGATTAGTGTCTCAAGTGCTTGAGATTGGGATAATATTTCACTCTGTGATCATAGGAATGACGATGGGGATGTCGCAAAATCAGTGTACGATCCGACCATTGATCGCTGCGCTTTCGTTCCATCAGATTTTCGAGGGCATGGGCCTCGGCGGCTGCATCGCTCAGGTAATTCCCTAATCTTCAAATTCCACTTACCTCAATCTGTTAATATCTGATTAAGATTTCAAGTTCCTTTGTTTGGTTTTGCTGCACATTTACCAATACTCTTTCAAGACATTTTTTTTTTAAATTTTGTCGTATATTTTAATGGAATGTCTAATTGTTTATACAATTGATTAATTAATCCATCTTTTAATTCCACACTATTGATGATAACTAGGCGGAGAAATACGCTTTGTTTCCTCATTGGATGTCTATAAAGATCCCTCTTTTATATTTGTCTGCCTTTTGCAAAATGGCAAGATCGCCATTCTCCTTTCCAGTTCCTCTCTCCACATCTTCAAAAACTTTAGTTTTATACTTTTATTATATTCGTTGAATTATTAAAGTTTTAATTTTTTTTTTGAGAAACAATTTCAACACCATGTTACTTAGCATATCAGAAACAAATTTTGATGTCCTGACAAAAAAAAAGTATCTTTAGAGGCTCCACTCTGCCAAGTACATGTCGACATTCTGCATACGTCTTTTCATGTAATTTGTTAATAGAAATTCTGTCTATATGCTATTTTCATGCCGATTCGTTCGTGCGCCTGTTTGGTTGAAGATGACGAAAGGGAATCATCTGGGCATGATTCTCTCGGCCAAATCACAGCGCCTTAGCATTATTTCTGGTTTATTGATGTCATGATGATTGATGCATCTGGGTGTCCATATCAGGCATGAACATGTGTAGATTAGATTGTGCTGATTCCCGGTGATGGATATTTCAGGCGGGTTTTGGGGCGGGGACAGTGTCATACATGTGTATGATGTTCTCGGCCACAACCCCGGCAGGAATACTTGTAGGGATGGTGGTTTTCTGGGCAACAGGGTATGATGACCGTAACCCGAACGCCCTCATAATGGAAGGGTTATTGGGGTCACTTTCATCTGGGATTCTGATATATATGGCCCTCGTCGATCTCATCGCCTTGGACTTCTTCCATAACAAGATGATGACGGCCGACACCGTGTCTGGTTCCCGGCTGAAGAAGCTGTGTTTCATGGCTTTGGTGTTGGGTTCTGCTTCCATGTCTCTGCTTGCTCTCTGGGCTTGAAGTTTGTGACCCCCTCTTGTAACTAACATGTCAGCCAAAAGAGAATAATGGCATTGATGAAAAGTTGCATCTAACCCTTTTGGGCAAATTTCATTTGAAATTGAAACAAATATTTACTGAGATTTGCTCTTTGGTATTTTTACTGCAATTTTGCATGGTCCATCAGAAGAAATCGTAGACTTGGATCAAATATATAGCAACCAAATAGAACACAAAACCCACTTGGTCACCCAAAAGGAAACCAAGGGTTGGAATGAAACTCAAATGGACCGTCCATTTCTATGAGATCTCTGTATATTAAATGATTACCAGAATGGACTATGGAGTATTAACAATTTGAGACGTGGGAACAAAAAGAGTGAATAAAGAGATGATCCTGTATGGGTTCTGCTGGGAAGCAACTTTGGTATATTCCACAGTGTAATCTCAGCATGTCTTTTCCCAAAGCACTATATAAGTTTTGGTTAGATAACGAAAAACGTTTCTGTAGTTGCTGTCGTAGTTTCAGTCCATGAGTTTGTAGCGTTTCTCTTGCACTCCTGAAACCCCCATCTGTATCTCTATGATTGTGTGAAGTGGCATCTGTTTAAAAACAAAAAAGAATGACGAGAATTCATGTCTGAATATTCGTATTCGGACCGTAGATGCTTGCTTCAGTTTCGGTTTGGATCTCGGATTGGTTGGGGATATATCATAATAGATAGTCAATTTCTCGTGGTTTATAGATCAAAACTCTCAAACAAGACAAGCGGGAGGGCGTGCTTACCTCGATGTGGGGTATTTCTTTGAGGGGCCGATCTGCAAAATAGGCATACAATGCTCTCAGCACGGCCTACAACAGCAAGAACAGGGGATAGAAACTCAACGGCGTTAGAAACTGATGGTCCCAAAACATGTATTTTTTACTTCCAAAACTGCAGAAGAAACATCATCAAATGAAACAGATTTACAGAAAACAGACATGTATTTTTTGTTAGTAGAAAATAAAAATAAAATCCAGGGTTTAATCACAGTTTTACCTCCAAAGTTTAACTTACAGTCAAATTTCAGAATCAGTAGTTTTAAATGATAACCAAGAAGTTTTTTATAAAAAATATTTCAATTTCTTCAAATCTACTTTGGATTATGAGGTGTTACCTGATGAGATATCACAACGACAGGAGCTCTTTGCCGTTCTAGCTCGATAATCACAGGTTCAAGCCTGCAATGTTAAAAGCAGCAACATTCTGAGAGTTGGTTGAAGGCGGAAATTTTCATGCATGTTTTTATACAAGTGAACTCAGGAAAAGCTAAAGAGTGTACCTTTGAATTACATCAAGATAAGATTCTCCACGAGGGTATCGGTATCTCAGCTTATCCTTCTTCCGAGATCTGCAATTTGATGCATGAGAGGATGAGTTACAGATGGTTTCAATGGAAAATTGTGCAACAAAACTTCGTACTCTTTGTGGACAGTTAAGTAATACAATAGTACGGTTCCAAGTTATCTAGGAGTTTTCATGTAATTCATCCTCATCGCCTTAATCCCAAGTTAAGTAATACAATTGTACAGCTCCAAGTTATCTAAGAGTTTCCATGTGATGCAGAAAAAATGAAAAATAAGATACATAAACCCTTTAATGCAGTATCAGGGTTTGATGATGGGCAGATAACAGGTTTTGTGCCCTCGGTAAACTCTTTCAGATCCCATCACCAAAGAATTATTTTATGATTTCAAGAATGCTTCCATGACCATGTTTAGTTTATTTTTCTTGATGCTTTTAACATGGCATACAGGATCAGCAGTTTTCAGTTAACAAGAATCAATAACACTTTTTTTTTTATAAACACTGCTTCCATCAAATCAACTTACTCATACTCCTCGGGCATGTTCTTCTTTATCTCTTCATATGTCATTCCATCACAAACTCCAGCATTTATCTCATCAAGGGCACGCCATTGCACCTATGATGAACAGAAGAGAGAATGATTTCTAGATATTAATATTTTATCACAAGATTTTGAAAGAGATTCCCGGATATGCTTACCTTAGGAAATCCAGCTATAGAACTCGCTGTTAAGATTGTTCTCTGAAGAGTGCTGGTCCATATCTGAAGAAAAAATGACAACTTAGATCCAATGTCTACGTGCGTGGAAAAATTGAAACGTCATAAGACAGGTTGATTAATCATAAACATACTCCAACGAGTGTTTTTTCAGGGCTGAGATAAGCATAGTACAATGTATTTAAGCCAAAAACCATGGCCCACATCCAATTAGTCGAGTGTAATTTGTACACCTTTGTTTTTACATATACATGTATACAGACTAATTCACCAAGTTCAAGAGATATTGGATTCACTTTAGCCTACACGATAGATCAGGTGTAGTGGTGAGACATCCATCCAATGCCAAAATTATTGGGATGTAACCTATGAAAGAAAGGCCATCAAAAGTGGACCGCTATAGGCATTACTATCACATGTGCGGCAACAACAGAATGCTTAAGTCTACATCAACCTAGTATCTGTTTGGTTACTGAATTTACCTCTAGACATCCCACCTCTGAAATAGATTTCATGTATAACTTCTATCATGGATTTGCAACAAATGATAGAACTATAATATGAGTTGGTGCTCACTAGAAACTTCTATAGAGTTCCATATGTATGGTGATGGATACACATTAAACCAATGACCCTTCTTCTCACACAAATGCCCATAAATCGGCTGTATCACAGATCGTTAGTGTTGGTACTTGGTGATACTTACCGAAGCAGCCTTTTCAGATTTCAGTCGCTTCTCGACAAAGTTAGCAAGTTTCTTGGCGTAAATTTCTCCCGATCCACTGTTTTTCACAGTTAGCATAGATAACGAAAACTCACATTTAAAACAGAGGGGGGGGGGGATACACAAACCAAATTAAATTAGCTTATAAATGAAGATGTGATCTTCTGGAAAAGGCGATGTCACGAAGTAACCACTGAATCAAATGACTGCAGATCAGAGAGTTACTTATCGATGTCTCACATTCTAGTGTCAGGCAGTGACTGAGCAAACACTTGTTTATCAAGCGCTCAAACTCAAAGTTTAACTTACAGTCAATGTAAGCAAGAAAATACATACCTTACTACACTGTCCCCTCCAATTCTGCCTCTAACATTATCCATACTCTCACCATGCCTAGTGAGAAGTATTGGGCGAGGAGTGAGATGCGTATTTACCTTAAAAATATTACAAACATCAGTGACTTCTAAAAACCATGGCATGCAATGAATTGAGCCAGATGATACATTTCTTATACTAGTTTGACATTTGTATCATTACAAGCACCATATATGCCTGGGCTAGGAATCAACTGTATAATTTACTATGCTGATTCAGTGTAATGTTAATATCCTGAAGACACATTGATATGTACTAACGGTAATACACCAGGTCCTGTATCACAAATCCGTACCAGGAAAAACACAATTCTTCCAGGTAGGTAACCGCTAATATTATTCACCTGCAATCAAAATGGAATAATGGACATAAAGCGAAAACCTCCATATACACTATTGACAAGTTGTAGAAAAAACAAATCTGATTATTTTATATCTGGTGATAAACACCTTCAGCTAAATGATTATTTGTAGAAATAGGTAAGCAACATACTTGTATCTGTCCACCATTTCCGCTGACCATATCAATCATTTTGATGTATGAACCTTCTTCTACAGGCTCATAAACCTGTTGAGGTAAGAATATATCCAACATGTGAATCTGATATGAAAGCTACAAGAGAGACTAAGGGAATTGTGCTTAACCAGCAAATAATTAGGACATATGTAAAAGATACAGCTTTGTATAACGACCCTTTCATAGTTTGCTAAACGGGTTCTGAAGTCTCGGCACCCTGCTTCGAAATCTGGCCTGCCGAGGAGAGAATACTGTCAGCTAGCAGGTGAAAGAGGTGAATTAGACAAGAAATTTAAATTACTGAGAGAGTACCATACTCTTCTGCGTAGTCAGGACTTTGCTGAATTTTAAGGCGTATGTTTCTTTCAATTATACGTTCGTCATTGCATAGTGTTTCCAGGAAAATTATCTGCAGTCAAGAAAGAAATAAGTAAATCAGATGCCAATAACAAATTTCATATCCAATACATGGTCATGTTCCCAGGCAAGAACAACTCTGTTTTTGCATCTAAGGAATCCATAGATAATCATCATGGCTACGTCATATGCACTTTCTACTTTATGGCACATAAAAGTTTGTGCTTGAATACAGGCTGTACATGAGAATGGCATCATACTTATACAAGGAATCTCAGCAATATCTCGACGCTAGAGCACAGTACCTTACACTTCCCTTCAGCCATTTTCATCAGCATATTCCGACGAACCCTGGTGCTATTAGTTGCATCAAAGACTCCAACCTACAATTAAAAGCTACTTACCTTGCAGGATATGACAAACCAGGTGATAAGTTCTAACGGAAAGGTACTTACTTGACCACCTTCCTGCATCCAGGCTATCATATCCTCCATTGCAAGCGCTGCTACCTAGTGGCATGTCATATATTAAAACTATGTGCAAAGAAGAAGATAGTGTCAACATTTTCCAACAAATTGAAATGTCTCGCATTATTTTGTGAATATGAAGCTTTTATGTGGAGTCTACCATAAGCAGAAAGACATCATAGAAAGAGACAATATCCAAGAGGATAAGCTAAATCATTCTGCTTCTCCTTTACCTCATTGCGTGCCTCTACGCCATCTGGATTGTCAGCACGAAAGAAATCAGCACTCTGCAACAAGGCCATATATCTTTTCTATCACAAAAGTCCAAAGAGAGAACAAAAACTTACAAAACCCATTTTTTCACAACCAAGCTTTACCTGATTAGTTCCATGTTTAAGGCGCCGATACTGTAAGAACAGGAACAATGACTGAGTCAATTTACCCTCACAAACGTTGCATATTTGCGAACGTAGATGAAAATAACAAGGAGTCACTGTAACAAATAACAACCTTTCCAACGTTGAAGTGTTTCGTATCATGTCCCAACCAGCGTAGATATCTTGTTAGCTTAGCTGCAGTAAAAGTCTTCCCTCGAGCTGGCAAGCCGACCTAATCCAAATCAATTAGAGAGAAATTCTACAAATCAGAACTTCAGTTACCTGAATTAACTTATTCTAAACAAAATTCATAGCTAGAGTTGTATCCATCTGTCAACAACTAAACCAGCGCACACAAGTAGAAAGACCACATAGAAACTATGAAAAAATTTGTGAGGCAGAGGAAGCTACCAGGACAATCGCTAAATGTCTATCCTCCTTAGGCCCAAGCATTTGATCAGCTACAGCCGCCGCGGCAACAGCTCCTGCAGCAGCTGGCATTGAATTCTAACAATTACGAGGGACAGACAGATAAAAGAACATTATCAGACACCAATGAAGTTTCAGATAATCCAAATGGTATGACAGAAAATAGATTAGTGCAAACCTTGGTTTCTATATCAGGTTTGGTATCGGCCATAAATGAGCTTGAGCTAGAAGATTTGACAAGCCTGGGGGAGCCAACACCTCGATCAACAAAGAGTCCCCTTTGACAATCTTGCTTCTGAAGAGGTGAGTGGGTCCCCACTGACTTCGACTCAACTGTTCCTGAAGCAGAAAACACCTTTGAAGGATCTGGGATACTGACCTCCATTTCCTACGGGTAAAATGTTATAAAAGTGATTAAATTAGGACATACATTTGATATACAAAAGCAGGCTCAACATTTATTATGTGGCTAATGGAAGTAGAACCTTTACAGCTGGAGGTTGATCAACCTCAACACCAGAATCTTTGGAAATATCTGATGCGGAGTTCAAGGCATCGCTCATACGAAACAAACCAGAGGCTGTAAGAGACCGTGGATTCTCAGCATTGTTAGCTGCATAAACATGGGCTGAGTTTGCAGAAGTTGCAGGAGCAGGAACAACATAATGCTCGAGATCAAGCTCCAAAGTGCCTGAAGGACCATTCTGCAAGAACCTCAAAGAAAAACGTATTTTTAGTGGGAACCTTCTCCGAGATTGACATGATATTTTCCAGTCAGACCAATTTGATATATCCGAAATCCTAACAGAGAAATACAATCAGGGTAACAAAGAAAGGGGCGAGAATAAACGCACTACCTCAGCACCCGATGGAGCAGCATTTATACTGACATCTGGAACGTCACGAACAGTGGATGGCTGAAGGTTCTCACGGTAAGCTCGCCAACTAGCAGCGAGATCAAATGGAGAAACTCTGTCGGCGTTGATGAACACCCTGTACTCAAGAATCACATCTCCTTCAAGCCTAAACAGAGCTAATTTCGCATCTCCTTGCAATGATCCTCCTGTAAGAAGCCGATTCGGACCCTCTTCCACTATACACGGCGCATTACTGTACTTTGGCTTCAACAAGAACTTGAAATCGAAAGTCTCTAAAATCAACACAAAACAAAAGCTTAGATGAAGAAATTGGATTGGAAGCACACACGAGTAACAATGAATACATAACCAAGACAATCATTATCATTCTCGTTTCCCACGACACTAAGCAAGAAGTACCCAGTATCGGAGTTGGGTCTCCATCAAATAACGGAAACAACACGTGCAACATGCTCTCTGCCTTCCATGAAATACTCAAAACCGTGGAAACGCATCCTCCGAATTGAAGAAATCATACCAAAGGGGGAAAAATGAAACCAAAAAACGATACCGTGGTTAGGAGGAACGACGAAACTCAATTCCCACATCGACGCGGATTCACGTTGCATCGGAAGCTACGCCAAAACGATAAACCAAAGTAGAAACACGATCAGATAAACGAAAAACGACGTCGGAGAACACGAGGACGACGAAGAAAATAGAACCCAACGCTCACGGCTTTGGAAGAATCCCAGGAACCGATGAGGGGAACAGAGCCGTAAACATGAGGGGTAAGGTCGCCCTCGATCTTGTAATTCTCCATCTTCAGCGAAACGTAGAGCTGACCACCACCGCCATTGCAGCCATCCTCCTCCTCCGCCTCAGTGTTCCTCGATGCACCAGTCCCCATGGATTGACCTTCCTTGTCTTCTGCGATTGGAACGAAAACTAGGGAGGGGAGAGAGAGAGATACGTTACAGATGAATACAGAGTATTCTCAATGGATAAGAGATCTGATAGAAAGCGAAGACACGAAGCCGCTGCGCAGCTTATTTTCTCCTTTTTGGCGTTTCTCCGGAAAACTTTTTTGTTCCTCGCAGTGAGAGCTTTGGGATAAGGGCAGACACGTGGTTGGTGTATCGGGTCGGGTCGGGTCGGATCGTAATTCAGGCTTCTTCCGATTGTTTGATCCAGGTCGGGTTTGTTTGGGGTTTTATTGGGCTGAGGGGCCCATTCCTTTGACTAACTGGCACTTTTGTTTTAGTGGGCGTTGACTTTTTAGTATAAAAACTTTTTTTTTTTGATAAACGGGATGTTTTCCCGAGCCTTCGATCCGACTAAATTCACCCTAGATTCGGGACCATTCTTTGTATATGGATCTAGGGATGGGCGCTTCGGTTCGGTTCTTCGGAACCGGACCGAACCGAACCATTAAAATGGTATTTTTCTCGACCCGAAACCGTTGTTATTTCCCGAACGGTACCATTTTTAGAGAACCGAATTTTTCCGGAACCGAACCGAACCGAACCGAACTTTAAAAATCCCGAAAAACCGAATATTTTTAAAGAAAATCTAACATTTTTTTTAATAAAACTCGGAATCGAACCGAAACCGAACCGAACCGAACCGAATACAATAAAAAACCCGATTGGTACCTATTTTTGTAAAACCAAAAGAATTGAACCGATCTATTCTGTCCCGAATCTGAACCGTTTCCCGAAACGTCCACCCCTATATGGATCATTTTGATCCAGAAATTACATTATTTTAACTAACCGGCCACTTTGTCACCTCTCAACCATTGGACCACCAACCGTTGGGTTTAGTTACAAAAACTTGTGCATATATACAGTATAGATATGCATGCATATAATAAATATTACGCGAAGCTCACAAATCACAATGACATCAACGGTATATACATACTTCCAAGTAGTGATGTCAAATTGGGTTAGGTTTAGTGGGTTAACCCAACCCATTAATGATTATATTTGGGTCAATTATTTGGTCATTTTTATTTAATGGGTTTGATGGGTTTTAATCCATTAAAATCATGGGCTTAAAAAAGTAGCCCAATTAACCCAATTAGCCCACCATACAATAATCATTTTATTTTAATTCTGAAAATCCAAATTCTTCAAACCCTAATTCTCTGACCTCGAACAACGTTTTTTCCTTCTTTTCCAAATCACCGATAAGGTGATTCAGTTTCTTTTTTTTTTTTTTTTTTTTTTTTTTTTTGTTTTTTTTTTTTTTTTTTTTTTTTTTTTTTTTTTTTTTTTTTTTTTTTTTTTTGGATAACATTGGGGAACCCCCGTGACTACCTACCCTTACAAACGGAGACGAACTGGCCACCACCCGCGCCTAACAGTCCCCATGAACCTCAGTCCGCCGGACCTGGCCACCAGGCGCGCCTAACACTCGGGCCGTAGTTGGGCTTAGGCGCCTGCAGGTCAAACCCCAAGCCCACGACGCACGAGCCTGCGACACACGCGTGGGATGTAAATCAGCCCGTTATGACAGGCTGGCAGGCGAGCAGGGCAGATGGAAGAAGGAGTGACAGGAGGATTCGATCCCCCCACCTCAAGGAGTTGCCCCCCTGCCTTCTGCCACTTGACCTGGCCCCGAAGGGCGGTGATTCAGTTTCTTCCTTTGATAGTTGTGATTTTTGTCGAGTTTCATCTGTATTTTCATTTTCAAAAGGTAATTCTAAACTTTGGCATGTTATTCTGTTCAATTTCGCTTATAAGTCTTTTAGTTTATGAGATATAGGTTTTGTTCGTACTTTTGCTGCGGCTGTTGGCTTTCTATTTTCTGATTTTGTATTTATTCTTGAACTTTAGATATAATTTTTCTGTGAAACAGTGGAATCATACAATTATTGGTTTCAATTATATTTTATAATTAACGATTTTGTTCTTGCGTTTATGGGTTTTGGTCAAATTTTAGTGGCGTATGCAATCTGTTCGACTAAATGCTTGAATGAAATAGACACATATTTTATCTTGTACATATATACGTATGTATATATACAAAAATATGTATGTATTTATATGTATGTATATATGTGTATGTATATATATTTTCACGTATTATTTTTTTCTTTTACTTTATATAATATTTTGTATATGTGATAGTCATTGAAAATTAGAAACATAAGAAAGATGTTTCAATTCAATGATATTTTTGTTGTATATGAAAATTAAATGGGCTGATTGGGTTGTAATGGGTTTTATGGGTTGATCCAGCCCATTTAATTATTGTTATTGGGTTAACCCAACCCAAACCAATAATTCATAAAACCCAAATGGATTGGGTTCAAGTGGGCTGGGTAAGCCACCATGACATTACTACTTCCAAGTAATATTCTACTTATGTAGATATATATAAAAAAGAATTTATTGCATGAATATGCCTTAATAAATGTTTTATTATAATTTTTTTTCTTGATATATAGGTATAAATCATCGAATTTTTATTATATTTTTTATTTGAGTTTTTTTAATTATAATAATAATAATAAAGATGAAATCTTTATAAGATAAAAACAAATTATTTGTTAAATTATTTTTGTCAATTATATATATTATTGAATTTGATAGGATAAAATGATGGGCCAGTTTGTGTTTCTTTTGGGCTTATTGGGCCTGAGAAATGAGTATGCGGTGGTGCTCCGGACGCGCGAAATCCAAAATTTTCAAAAAAACCCAAAATCGAATTCGACTATCAAAAAATTGAAAATTCTCAGATGATGTCTCCCTTTTCCCATCTCCCTTCACCTACAGATGAAGATGAATCGCCGATGAGGAGAAGCGGAACGGTGATTCTTTCTTCTCGCGATCCGATTAAGAACTTTATCCGAGGTTTGTTTTCGATAATTCATCCGTTTTTAAGTTTCAGCGTCTCTTTAATCTAACTATTGCTTCGCCATCGAATCGAATTGGAGCTTGGTTGAATTATCCCGTCCTGTGATCGATATATATTATTCGTTGTGTGGAATTTCTCTGTTCCGTCTTTAGATTTCTTCTTGGAAATTTGTCTCAAGGTCTTTACACAGAAACTAGCAATGTCATGTGATCGATCATCCAGGTGATATCGTTATCTTTTCCCTTTCTGACTAGCTTTAAAAAGTTACGAAATCCAAGCCTGAAATGTCAGTTCGATCGGTGATTTGGTCTGCTGCAAACTCAGCAGAACACGAATTTGCTAGTTTGTTCGTGGCTTGAATCTGAACTTTAGCTCCAGAGACAGACCATTGGTTGAGTTTTGGAACCAAAGAGTTCGGTAAATGGCTATAAGAACTGGGTTAGACAATTGCAATTCGAGCTAAAATGTTCGAAATGGTCATGATTCTAAATGATCATCATGTCCATTAACTGTTACCACGAATGGTCATATCTTCAATTTGTTAGATGCATAAATCAATGGCCATTACTTGCATCATGAGTCTGCTATTTCTATTGCAGTTTAGGTGGAATATTCTCCGGATTCGGAAAAGGTCGGTAGCTATGAATCGATCCCTCGAGAAGACGCACGTCAGGCTCCTAGCTCGTGACCTCCTCCGCCTCTCACCATCGCCGTCAGACCCAACCTCATTCTCCCTCGGCAGCGCGTCTGTCTCGCGTGCCGAGACTGTCGGGACGGTCGTTTCGTGCGACCTCACGCCCAAATTCCTCAAGTTCGCGGTCGACGACGGCACAGGCTGCGTCACGTGCATGCTCTGGCTCAACCACCTCACCTCCTCCTACTTCTCCCGCTGGAAACCCTCCACGGTGAGCCTGGTCGCCCGTGCGGCGCGTGACCAGGCCGTGAAGGTCAGGATCGGACACGTGGCTCGTGTCCGCGGCCGCATCACGTCCTACAGAGGTGCGTTGCAGATCACCGTGACCGTCGTGGTGATGGAGAGAGACCCAAACGCCGAGATCTTGCATTGGTTGGAGTGTCTCACTCTTGCCCGAAGATGTTACCGTCTCGTATGCAATTAGGCGCTTAGGTCTTTTCTCATTCGGATGCGAGTCTAGGGTTTTGAATTTTGTAATTAAAAAAAAAAAGGGTGATTTTGAAATGGTAAAATGAAATGCTATCCTATGAACAAACGTTTGTTGGACATTTTTGCTCTATTTCAATTATTTATAATTATTGATTAAAAGAGTACCAATTTGATTTTTGATTAATGTAGCATTATTTCATCATACCCTCCACTACATGGATCATTTATTCAATTTCATTAACTATATATCCGCTATTTTTTTACATAGTTACTGACTAAAACAACAAAAGAAAATTACAAAAAACACCGATGCCATGTTTAACTCAACCCATCATCTCAAACGTTTTAATTTTCTTTGGGGGTCCATCTCTTTTTACCGTACAGTTCCATTAACGTTCAAGTACATTGCAAAAGAAATCACAAATAAAACTTACACTGTCTAGCAGAGAAAACAAACTGAAGCATGCCCTCTCCAACCAACCGCATTACCCAAATTCTCATTTTGCAAACAGCAGCTTAACACTTTTGGAATTGTGGACATATCGACTCAAATCAAAACCCGACATATAATTCCCACCACCAGCAATCAGCATGTATATGTCCAGACGAAAGCCGGTACAGAAAAACAAAAAAAAAATTAGAACATCTTAAGATGTCTTTTCCTCACCTGCTTCTTTTGCAGGCTCGCTCGTCTTCTCCTCTTCCTTCTTTGTTGATGGCGCCGCCGCCTCCACAGGTTTCTCTTCGGTTTTCTTCTCCTCAACTGTCAACTTCTCAATAAGACCAGCTGCTTCCGATGCATCTTTGCTCTCCTCTTCCTTTTCTTCGGATTCGGCAACTTCCTTGAACTTTTGCATAAATGTTTTGTTATCTGACAAGTCAAATTGCATCGATTATCTATCCACACTCAACGTTCTTCGTTACATGAGAAAATATAGTGCCTTGACGATGGGCAACCAAAAAATTTGAACAAAAAGATAGCCCAGAAAATTGCTAACGACTCGGGACCAGATTAACAGAGGAAAACAACACCACTCTACAACAGTTTCCTGTGCTAGGCCCCTTGACCACACAAGATATTCTGAGACGACCAGGTCTATTAATTACTATGGTAAGCTTAAACTTTTGAGCATTAAAGTCACAGCAATTTTGGCTTCCAGCCATCAGCAACTTGTATACGCACATGCTCAATTAGCTCTAGAACAAACAGCAGATTAAAAAACCAGCACAACAGATGATTTACAAGTTATGTCATCAGTGTGTTCGGAGGCTGAGATACAAAGGGCCAATATCGAGTGTAACCAGAAGCAACAACGTAATTAACATCTCAAAACAATCAACAATATAACCCTTAACATGCATTCAAGGAATACCTAAAGTATCTCGAGGTCAGCCGATGATTTTAGACATAAAGCCCAGAAACTCCTGATGAAGATGAACAGAAATGATGCAAATCCTATGTGTGGCAGAAGCAACCAAACAAGTAATCAAAAGGTTAATGCCAACAAAAGGGACTGTGTCGATCAAAAACCATCTAATCACAATCAACGACCATATATGAGAGACATTTGCAGGCAAGCGCTGAAACGGCGTGGGAAATATGTAATAAGTTTTTGGTATAAAAATATGTAATAAGTTCTACCAGGCAAATCACAATATCCATAATCACTCACTTTCAACTGATGCGAAACGGATGCAGAAGAGCTCATCCTTCAATTCACCATCAGAAAAGTCAGAGGCATGCCATACGCAGGACTTTTCATTTCCCACGTGTTCCTGAACGGTCATGCCCGGCAAAACTGCAGAATTTTCGAAAAGAAACAAACATAAGGATTAACGGAACACCGACCCATTAAAAACCTATAATCCAAAATTCGTGAGCAGGAGACCAGAGGAACTCACTGAAATGATTGGCGCAGATCTTCAAAGTTTTGGATTGCCTCATAACGAGACGAATTTTGCCAGTCTCCTTGTGCTTCAAAAACTTAACAGTACCCGCACCTCTCTCCTTCCACTGATTCCCATCTTTATCAAACCGATACAGCTTCGATTTCCTACGATCCACAGTAAAATATCCAATCGAAATCTCAGAACCAATCGCAAACTGAAAACCTAGAAATCCAGAAAGCAGCTACAGAAACGATCAGATCCGGTCGACATAGACAGAGATCACAAGGACCAGAGACTCGAGCAGAAAAATATACATACAGATCGAGTGTGGTGTCTTCGCCTTCTTCTCCGGTAGTGACGGCGACCTCCTCGAGCTTGACGATAGGAGCGACCTGAGCTCCGGTGTCCTCATCCTCGTTGGCTCCGGTCTCTTCCTCTTCTCGGTTATCGTGCTGGGGTTCGGTGGTTGCCATTTTAGCAAAACCTAGCAACGCCGTTCACTTGGTTCGGTAATCGGCGCAGCGGAGGAGCCAGAGACAATTGGAGAATTTTTGGGTTTTGGTGACAATGGGGAAGTAAATGAGGTTTTATAGGAGACAGGTCGTGAAAGGAAATGGAGTTTTTGACGTCCCCTTGACGCCAAGTATGGATCCTTATTTGGGCCTGTTTTGAATACTTATAAGCCCATTTATGAGCCCAATATTACTTGACCTATATAAGGCTCACATAATAGCCCAATGTCATTTCCTTTTTTCTGATACAGCCCAAATATTATTCTTTATATTTTTAAACAAATATATACTTTTACTCTTAAATTGCAATAAATATTTAAACTACAAACTAATTACGATAAAATATTTTTAAATCGGACAAAATTTCCGAAACCTTTCAAATAGAGCTACAGAAAAACAGATAGAAATAACGTCAAGACTTGTTTATAAAAAAAAAAACATAAATAATATGTGTGTTTGTTAGGCAATTTTCATCTCTTGTTTTAACTTTTGAATATTTTGCCTTGTAAATAATAATGTGTTTCCATTATGGTCAAATTTAAAATGGAATAAATTCTATAAGAAGTAGCATTTGCAATTTCAAATAATCGATCAACCGTGTCTTATAAAGAATCATATTTTACATGATCCACATAGAGCAGCTGTCTTTTTATAGATTTTGACATTTTGTGGATTAGTGAGGGCCGCAGTTTTGGATGTTATATCCTCGATTTTTTTTAATTTGAAAACGTTCCGTAAAAATGTAAATAATAATATATATTTTTAATCTATATTTGATTAAAAACTGTTAGAAAATTACGTGAGTCTATGATCCAAATGGAATAATAATTTTTTTTTTGGTATGTTTCATTGAATAATAAGATAACAAATAACAGCATATTATTTACGTTGATATTTAGATACCTTTGACAACTTGCGACTTGAGATATTATGGTATGCCCACGATGCCCCGCACTTCTTCGTCATCTCCTTATTTGTCTGTCTTTTATTCAGAAAAAAAATACAAATTAAATAACAAATTCATACATTATGGTTGATAAATATGGATCCAATTGAAATGGGAAACAGTAAAGGTTTATAAATTAAATTATTTAAAAATGCAAATTCTTCCATCGAAATTGATAGGATATTGTATCCCCACCAAACGATTATTAACATATTTTTCCAAGCAACTATTTGCGTAAACCATATCTTCAGTGGGAGGCGTGTTTTTCTTTACCAAGGAAACTAAATTGGATACGTATAAGAGGTTAATTATCTTATACTCTCCGTTTCAAAATAATTATTATTTTAGATTATTTAATATTTTTTTAAAAAAAAATAAAAAAAGTTATATATTTTTTTATTTAATGATAAAAGCAATGTTATTATTAATAATTTATTAGAATTTAATAAAGATGAAATTAGAAACTATTATAAAAATTATTTTGAAAATGTAGAATGATAAATATTTTGAAACATGAAAAATAAATTAAAAGTATAAATATTTTAAAATGGAGGGAGGGAATACTATTTAATAATATTGATTTATGTATATTTAATGATTTTGTTCAGAAGCGATCGAGTGGGTGCAGATGTGAGAGTTATCAACAACAGCATGAGTTAGGATCCTCCTTCCCCCACGGAGAGTTTAGATTGTTCGGTCCCGATCCAATCACATGCACTCAAAATAAAATTTGAAATTGAGATGAAAGATAATATCCAACTTTTATTATAATAATAATTATAATTATTATCACAATGATATTTATAAAGAATGAAACATTTAGAATATATCAGCATATTCCCTACCACCAATAATAATAATAATAATAATAATAATAATTGAGGCGGCGGTGCCGCCGATGCCGGGTTCGCCGGTATCACACCGTCAGCTGCCGCGCTTCCGTGGTTGGTGGTATTACGAATTTGCCCCTCCGACCAATATTCGAGATCCGGAGAAGTGTTATATTCCGAAATTACCCTCGGTGAATTCGGATATTCCTTGCTTGTTCCTTCCTCTTCGGAAGCGTGGCATCTTACCGCTACCCAACCATCAGATTCCCCATTTGCCCCTCCCGTCGTAGCCAATTTACAAATCCTTGCCATCACGGATGCTCCGGGTTCGGATATCGACCCGGTCTCTTCTTCTTCATCGTCTTCTTCGAAATCCGAGTTGACCCAGTCGAGTACGCATCGTGGTGACGACTCGGTGGAAGGCGAACAACGCTCGAGAGACAGGAAGGGGTGCTGCAAAAGCCTATCGCAACTCCACCTCTGACTCGGGTTTCTGTTCAAGCACTTGTCGAGAAAATCACGTCCAATTTCCGACAGACCCGCTGGGAAAACCGGCAAGTCTTCGGAGAACCCGATTTGACTCAGCGAGTCGAGCCCCCGATCTTCCCAGGGGGGATTTCCGGTGAACATCTCGATGACCGTACAACCGAGCGACCACACGTCACTCTCCGGGCCCTGGTACTCCCTCCTGATCACCTCCGGCGCCATCCAGAGCGGGCTTCCACGTGGCATGATCAGAGCCGTCGATTCACAACCGCCGAATCTAATCGCCGACCCGAAGTCCGCGAGCTTGGCGAAGCTCCGCTCTTGTCCGAGGAGGACGTTTCTCGCTTTGACATCGCAGTGAACAATTCCGTGCGAGTGAACGTGTCGAAGAGCAGAGACCAAACACCACGTGTACCGTCGGAGCAGAGCCTCGTCGATTTTTCCGGCGGTGGACGCCGCGTCGCCTCCGGAAAGATACTCCAAATGGAGATTCCGAAACGATGCAGTTCCCTCCAAGGATACGTCATCGCCGATGAAGCCCACGATGTAAGGGTGAGGCCCGAGAGAACAGAGGACGGAGATTTCATTCTCCAGAGCCTCCGCCTGAGAAGTGAGACACGTGGCAAGATCCACGGACTTCACGGCGAAAACTCCGCCATCAGATCTTCTCACGGCAGTGCTAACACCGCCGAAACAGCCGCGTCCGATGCACGCGCCTCGGACCCAAGAAGAAGAAGAAGAAGAAGAAGTGTTGTGTCTGACTCTGATGCTGTGTCTCTCCATGTGTGCCAACTTTCGTGTGTCGTGCTTGTGACCACGGGACCTTTATATACGTGTGTTTGAATTGCGAAATGTGAGCAGTGAATAAAGTTCCAATTTTTTTTTAATATCTGACGTGGAATGAGCTCTACGTGTCTCTCAACACAAAATTGTGGACGAGGAATACCGTTTCATTTTTTAAATTTAACACGTGTAAATTCATTGGCATGTCAATTTTGACGTGATTAATTTCATCGCGAATTATGATGCCCAATGATTAATGTGTACGTATATATAAAATTATTTCTTAAAAAAGTAAACAAAAAAACACATTTTACTTAAAGATAGTAGGGGGGGAAACGGTTTGATGACATCATAAAATGAGAAGATCCCGGGCTATTGTAAGAACCCAAGCAGCGGGCTGTTATCCTTATCCAAGAATAACTAATCTACGGTTTGATCTGGACCGTTGAATTTTCACAATAAGCAGATCAACGGTTCTCGTTTATGTTCGTGTATATCCTTTCTTCTTTTATGGATCCCTCACCGAGCGGTTGTTTCGCGAGTTGATTGGATTCGGATCGGTCGCTGGATCGTGGGAAAGGCAAATATCTGATGTGCAAACGACAAAACGTGTCCATGGATTTTCTGCCGCTTGATCTGTTGACTTTTTTGTGGCAAGACGTTTGACTCCCACCGTAATACGTGATCAACACCCCCAATGTATACGGGAATCTACTCCTTAATATTTGTGATTTTATGATGATAATTGTGTTTATATGCAAATTATATACATGGCAAGTGACTCCATTGATGTTGATGAGATCTTTTTTTTTACGTTCTATGTACTAAAGTTTATTTGTTTTGATTATCTTTTATCTAAATTCAAATATAAAAAGAACTATACGAATTACAGTAAACAAATTATAGTAATTATGATATCACTATTTTTGTTTTTAAAACTTTAAATATTCAAATTAAATGTAAACGTCGTTATTCGAATATCACAATATTACCGTAAAAAAAATAATTTATAATTCCTCCGAGTCTTCTAAGTGTTAAATGTTTCAGAGTGGTGGTAGTTCTTATAAAAACTTCCGTGGCGTAGCGTGCGACTGCGAAGCAGGAGATTAAAACTCGAACTGAACATGTTGGATGCGCCCAGTTAGTTGCGAAAGGGTTAGAGGTCACCCAATGTCCAAAGGGGTAGATTTTATCATGAACTGGTGCCCAATTTTTAGATGACGTGTCAATATACTATTGATCCACGTTCACCGACAGAGAACCGGAAGCTCCAGTTGTCCGCATTCTTATTTGTAAGATGTGCTCCACCAGTCTCCCACGTATAATTGAGTTGATGTTTCTGTTTAGTGAACAGAAAAAAAACTTTTTTTTTTCTAAACGTAATATTATAAAAAATAAATGCTAAATACTAAAAAATCTTGAAATTGTAACCCATATATGATTTTTGTGTCGATAAATCTATAATAAAATAGTTTAAAAAACTATATACCCACGATTTTATTATGAACAATTGCATCTGCTATAAAATTTGATTTCCACTCAACTGTTATTTTTAATCCGCTCTTTCTTTTTTTTAGAAGAATTCATTGCCCTTCCGATAACGCGTGGGACTAACGTTACCGGATCACCCCTAATCGCATATCCTCATAGCCAGCTTTTACGAGAGAACGGTCCAATAATAAGATATTATTTTGAAGAACTAAGGGACCCATATACCATAATATTGGAGAAAATAACTTACGGCGATGCAATTTGCCGTTGAAAGTATTTTTTTTTTTTGGTGTTACAATATCTTCCAATAAAAATAGATATCGAAATCGATACTATAATATAACTTGGAGAAGGAGCCAGATATTTAGATGCACGTTGAGTACTTAAATCGACATGTGAAATATAGTGTCTGTTGTGCATTAGACATCGATATATGTTTTTTTTTTTTCTTGCTCGATTTGGCTTAAAAAAATGTGGAAAAAGTTATATACGTATAAAGATATCTTAATCGATTTTGAGATATAAAAAAAGGTTATAAAGATACGCTAAGATCAAATAATTTCCCGTATTCGGGTTTGATATATAGAGGCATTTGATAAAGATATATGCATGGATTAAATGGTTAATATATAAGATGCATAATCAGCGGTCTTACGAGGAATTTGATTGCGAGGAAATGAAAGCAAGACATAGAGGAGACATGAGTTGGTGAAGTGTGGATTAATGTCGAGCGAGAAGAAGACAGCAAAGCTCGAAATCTGGTGGCCGACAACGTAACATGGAGATGCATGCAAATTTAAAGGACTCCCCAACTCACGTAACCTCTCATCACAATCTCATACCCATAAAAAATTATATATATATATATATATATATATATATATATATATATATATCTACGTATACACATGTACTATGTATATATGGTTGGATTTGGGTTTATTTGATAGAATCAAAACGGGTCTAGCCCGTGAGAAGCCTGGTCCGTGTAAAGTTTTAGAAACTTTAAATCGGCAGAATATTAAGAGAATTTTCTTGTTTGAATTAGAAATTCAAATTAGATTCAAATCCGCATAAAATCTATCATATATGATTAAGATAAGATTGAGATAATATCAAGATAAAATCAAATTTGAATTTTGAAATTCAAATTGATTTATTTTGAGATTCTCATCTCTACTATAAATAGAGGTCTTGGGTTAGCTCATAAAACACAGAAAAAGAAACAAGTATTCTAGAGAAAAAAAGAGTATTCAGATATTTGTTCATATCTCTCTCTGAGTTCGCTTGGTATTTGGAAAGTTTCTTCCAAATACGCGGTCGTTGTATCCTGGGAGTTCACCGTGCTCCAATAGCCTCGAAGCTTTAGAGGTGGCACGAAAATCGAACTTAAGGAAACTGTGTTTCACAGGTTTCGACAAACTAATCTTTTAATTTCAGGTACTTATCTGGAATCGCTCGAATTGCCGGAGTTTTGCCGTCGTCAACAATCGCCGTCACCAACATATATATATATATATATAGGATCTCAATTTGATGTGTGTATCTGTCTAGTATAATTTTATGGATTTTGTGAAAGATATGGACAATGAATACATAAAAATCGCCCCGAAAAGGACGATGCATGTCTGTCGATAACGGATTCGCCGGAAAACACAAGTTTTTGTCGGCGGATAATTAAACGAATCATAATCACAAACGGAATTAAAGGAACAATATACCATATGAGTAATATCATATCTTGAAGTTTTTGGTTTTATGAGTGTATAATTCTAAGTTAAATACGAGTTAAACAATAAGGAGTATTATATCATTTTGTATATTTTAAAAGTGTTATTCTCTTATTTATTTATTTGATAACAAACTACAAAAATATACGGGATTTTCACGTTATGGTTTTATTTGTTTATTATTTTGTCACACATATACCTAATTTTTTAATATAAGGTGGGTCTGATCGCGATACGCAGTTACGCACACCAACACTGTAGAATATAATATATATATCTACCGTCACATTATGCTTAGCAACCTCATTTTGATATCTGTTTTCGAGGATATTATTATATATAACTCAATTTTGAATAAATTAAGTGGTGAAAAATAAATCCGTTCATTGTTTCAACAATTTAGCTAGGATTTTTTCAATACAGTTTTTTTTTTTTTTCTGTAGACAAAAAACTTGTAAGACCTCACTTAAAGGGTAGAAAACATCCAAATTTGGGTGATCTAGTGGTGAGAGAATATGCAAAGCATGCTCTCATCATGGGTTCAAACCCAAACGTGGAGAGGAGCATTCACCTGGACTTCTCCGATCTTCTGGGAGATGTCGGGTCGAAAGTCCGGTGAACTTATGGATTATAAAAAAAAAATGGTAGAAAACTTGTCATGCATGTGATTCTTTTCTTTATCAGTTAACTAATAATATTCAGACCATGTTTGACATTTGCGTTAAGCAACTTCTTAATTACGCACACCCAACAACGTTAGCAGCAGTTCAAAATCAATGTGTTCTCACTGCACGAAACTCTAACCTCTTCGATGCCGGAAATGTAAAAAAAAAACAATTAATTATAAAATTCTGTACGATACCACCATTTTGAACATTGGATTTATTCATTTTTAAGTAAAAAAAAAAAACATTGGAAATTTCACAAAGTAAATAAATACATTTAGACGAATTGAAAACGTAATTATCACGAAGTCTTGATTGTAGGTATTCGTGAAACTTTCTTAAATTGAAGAGCAAATAATATAATTTCTAATACAGTAAAAGAAATATATATGAAACTCGATATAAAATATAATAATAATACCGGGATTAAATAAAAATATAAATGTTCAATAATTCGGAATAGCAGTCGTTCCATCGAATTTGTTCTACAACTTTCAATCTCAAGAAGTCGATTACAAGAATAAGACAAAAATCATTGTCAATGTAAAGAGCCGATCTATTGACAGTGGTAATGGGTCCATTTTTAAAGGCCGAAACCGAGTTTGGTACATTGTAACTGAGAAGAGCCACATGATCTGTGTTTTTTTTGGTGTTAGGTGCAGAATTTGGTTTTGGGAATAAAAGAAAAAAAACGACACAGAGGAAAGCCGAACATCGTGCCGTTTCCAGGATAAGAGAGAGTGATACGTCCGTCAACGTGTTTGTGCGGGTTGAACGCAAAACACGTGCCGTTTTTCTGCTTTCTTTTGTTTTCATGTCTCTTTCCACGGTGCCCCACCCGCATTTTGACTCTACACCACCCCAACACCTCGTTCTTATCGTCTTGTCATGTTAATTACGAATTTACGATTATTATTATTATTATTATTATTATTATTATTATTATTATTATTATTAGGGTAAAACCCCTAAAAAACCTTAACTTGCAAAAATATATACAAATAAACTTTCAACTTGAAAAACTGTCATTCAATCCCCGAACTTGTAACTTGTCACTGAATAAAATCTCGAACTTGTAAATTATTGCTCTAATAAACTTTTGACCGGTTTGACCACAATTTCAAACGATCGAAAATCTACGTATTGACGGATTGCTGATGTCAATTTTTAAATTAAAATTGATAACGTGTATAAGGTGACATCATCAATCCGTCAATACGTGGATTTCCGATCGTTTGAAATTGTGGTCAAACCGGTCAAAGGTTTATTAGAGCAATAATTTACAAGTTCGAGGGTTTATTTAGTGACAAGTTACAAGTTCGGGAATTGAATGACAGTTTTTCAAGTTGAAAGTTTATTTGTATATATTTTTGCAAGTTGAAAGTTTTTTAGGGGTTTTACCCTTATTATTATTATATCTCAAATAAGTATTTTTTTTTTATAAAATTAAAATTTTAAATCTTAAAATATTGATTACCTAAAACACCCAACACGTTTTTTTTTTTGTCATTAGATCACAATTTGGCCACGTCTTGCTCTTCACATCAACAAGGTTCGAATCTTGATGGACACCCAACCAAAAAAAAAAATCGTACGAAGTTTTCCGTATGATTAATTACATAGCAAAAAACTCTGAATTTCATACTAAAACTTCACATGCGTGGGTTCTCTTCTCTCGTTTGAATACGACAATTTCTCTTTCAATTTACCCACTCAACAACCCCCTCGAATTATTGCTATTTTCATTTTTTTTTGCATAAGATAATTTGGAACTTACAATTTAAATTCGAAATATTTAAAATTACAATAATGTAATATGGTTGATGTGATCAAAACAGAAATCATAAAAAACACGAAAGAAACAGTTTATTAGCTTGATTTCGTACATAAATAATCTATTGTCCGCAATCGATGATATAATATAAGATTTAGTTGTCATGATACTACGCTCAATTTCATACAAACTACGGCTGCCATAAATCAGTTAATACATAAATTAAGTTAAAAAAGAAAGAATCAAAGAATCAAAGAATTCAACAGATTTCTAAAGGTTATTTTTCCCTCCTGCTCTATGGCCGATCCGATCTCCCTTCTCTCCTAACTATTGTACCAGGATGAACTCACACCGTAGGATTGATTTCATCCTCGTCGAAATCTAGCCGTCAGATGAACCGCCGCAAAGGGATCACCATTACGCTGATGTCGTCGAAGGAGCCTCGTGAAGCGGAGAGCTCGGCCAGCTTCTTACAGGCCAACAATGGCGTCTCACTTCCTAGACAGAGAGGGCGAGCTATGTCTATTGCTTCCTGGTTACTCACCTGATAGCACACGTTCATTACAAAAACATTATTAGTGAACGGAGAAGAAAATGTTATGTTCTGTTCCAAAATATATGTGCTTTTTTGTTCCTAAGTACGTGTCTAGTAAAGTACCTTGTCCCATAAACCATCGGATGCTAAGATCAAGAACTCGTGCTCGGGTTCGATCCTGAGGATCTTGGTCTCGGGTTCAGCTATCACCCATTGCTTGAGATGAATATCTCCGATCCCTCTCGACACAGCCAGAGATCCTTGGATTCTCCACACACCTCGGAACGTATCGACATATCCGCCCTGCAACGTACCGATATCATCAAAAGTTTAGCCCAAATATCGTAGATTATTGCATATGTTTCTTAGGATATGATGCTAGATTTCACAATTGGAAACAACATGTGCAATTGGGTTGTGACCATATAAGGTTTGTTTACACAGATTAAAGCAGCATTTTCGGACAAGAATGAAGATTCTCACCGAGCTCTCGATCCTGTCGCGTTCATCTTGCCTGGAAGGCCGGTGGTCGGAAGTCAGGGCCTGAGCTACCCCTCCGATGCTCATAACAGCTCGGCAGTCGCCTGCATTGGCCACCACGAGATTCCCGTCTCGGACCAGAGCCGTGACACAGCACGAGCCGCCTCTAACCTCTTTCTCCTTGAGAAACTCGGCATCCGTGGTCAGGTACCCTCGTCTCACGGCCTCTGCCATGATCTCCATTTCGCATCTCCTGCCAACTACTTCCTCAAGAATGTTCGTATCCAAGTTCTTGGCCGCGAATTCTGCCGCTTTGGTTCCTCCATGGCCGTCATAGACTCCGAATATCGCCTGAAATTTCACAATCATATAAGGGTTTATATATACATGGATAGAGAGTTACATGTTTCACATTTCCTAACCGATCCATATGGTCATACATACAGACGTACCAAAGCATCAAACTTTTCGCATAAGAACCCAGTTTGCATCATTTCTTATCCAATCATAACACGAAAACATGAAGTTACCTGCTTGGGGTCGCCGTGAACACTGGTGATGGCAGAGAACCGATCCTCCATAGCTTCTCTCCTCCCTCTCCGGCAATAAACCGAATACCCATCACCGTCTCTCTCTACCTCCCTCTTCTCCTCCCTCGGCGTCGCCGGAGCGAAACCTGCCAGACCCATTGGTATATCCAGCTTCGCCGGCCGTTTCCTCTTATGAACACCAACCGGCGGCGAATATCCGGCGCCCAATCCGTGACCCGGATCATAACCGAAATCCGAAGGCGGCGGACCGAACCCGGTCGGGGGTTTCTGGAGGCGGAGACGAAGCGGCGAAGTCGGCGAAGCCGCGGCGGAGGGAGACGACGGAGATGCGGTGGAGGACTTGAGATGGGTTAGGTTCAATGTAAGCGATTCGTTCGCCGGAGAGATGATCGGTGCTTTGTTGCAGAAAAGCGACGACGGCGATGGGAACACCGGCGAGTTGCAGACGGCGACCGAACACGACATCGTTTTGCCCGTTTCTGTCACCCCCTCCCTCTCTCTCCGAAACTCCTACAGAAAATTTTTCCTCGAGAAAAAAGATATGTTCTTCCGGTTTCTTGGATTCGTTTGGAGATTCCCGGATCGATTGATCTGTTCTATTTTGGATCCGTTTGTTTTCTGTTTTTTTTTTTGGTGAACGAACGAGGGACAAAGAGATATATATACGAAGGGGCTGGACTCCGTGTTCGTCGAGTGGCCCATCGTTGTTGCTTCTTTCAAACGTGATTCTTGACTTTCTGAATGACGGATTTAGCCCTCACCTCGAGCTATTTACGGCTTTATCCCCTATAAAAAGAAAAACAAATATCTAAAAGAAATTGCAACATGTATTTTCCGGATTGTCCCAATTATAGAACTATCAGATTATTGGAAAACAAAATATTTTATAAACAATACAAAGTTACAAACTCTTACAAGATGGAAAAGGTTTGAAATTTTGAGATATTATTGGATAACACCATTAATATTATTTAAAAAGATATCATGTGCAACTTACCATATCATTTATTATTTTTGATTTACAATTTTCCTATTTTTTTTTCTTCCTCAACATTAATTACAGGATATGAAAAATAAATATTCATGGATCTAAATTTATCATAATAGAAAATAAAAGAGAATAATATTATTATTATAGAACAGTTCTAGAAAAGCAGGAGCATGGCAAAGAAGAACACAACTAATTCAATAGAAAACAGCAGAAAGTCTTCGAGACCATTTCCGAGGATATAACAGTAATTTCAGCAAATATAGGATCCAACGAGTTAAAAGAAAACAAAAATGCGAGGACTTGAAACAAGTGCAAGAAAGAGGAATCAATACGGTGCGTTTTGTTGTTTTGTTTATGGTAACGTACTAGTGTTGAAGACGTGTGTTGACTTTAAAAAAAAAAAAAGAAATAGTAGAATCTTAAGGGGCCGTTGTGGGGCCCATAAGGTGATGTGTTGTCTTAAGGTTGGATCGCTCTCGACGCAGCTTCTCCGCAAGTTACCGTTATGGAGCCTTGTTCATCTCCAGTGACCGTTGTCCGCTTTTAATAATAATAATAATAAATAAATAAATAAATAAATAAAAATAATAATTTGTAACGTTTTCAAGCAATTTGGTCTGATTCCAGGTAGTTAAATTCTAATTATTATTACGTACCACTTGTATTATTTTCTAATTGCAACAAAAAAAAAGTTGCAATTCGTAACAAATATAACCAGTTCAATCATATTGAAATCGGCAAGGGGCAATTATTATTAATAAGAGGACCAAAAACACCAAGATTCCTCATTTTGAACCCAATGTTTGTTCAACATTTCAAAGTCATGTTAAACTTTGATTATGGTAATGATTGAATTTAATGGTAGTCAAATAATAATTGTTAATTGTGTTCAAAACACTAATTATCCGGCGGAAGATGTGATGCGATTTTAAGTCCCCGCTAGTAGTTATTTGACTTGGTCGTTGATGTGAGATAGAGATTTATATATTTACTAAATTAAAAAAAATACTAATTATAATCGATGAACAACAGATAGGGTGATGACCTCCACCATGCACCATGCAAACTTGTTCGTCCCTTTAAAACTCACGTTGAAAAGTCTACGTCAATGTGAATGTGACTAATTCGTAACTTCGCCGCCCACGTATTCATAAATTTTATCATTGTTTTTATTTTGTGATTTTGTAATATATAAATAATATGTTTATGAAAAAAAACGATATGACAATCATAAACCGATATACAAAAGATTCCGGTGAAAGGAGACAACAAAATTTATATCCCGTTCCGAACCTCAAATTTAAAGAAAACACTTATTTCAAATCATATGGTTTACTCTCGTTCTTAACTCAGGTTACCAAAACAAATAATTCCAAATATATTGCAGTAAATACAAAAAAGGAAACAAAAATCACTATATTTATTTATTTATTTTTGTTCAGAAACTTGTAAATAAGAATTTAGGAAACCCAAAAAACAATTTCAAGGGTGAAAAAGAGAGAGAAAGAAGTGATAAAATCTTAACGTATGGGCCGAAAATCAGAAGCCCATATAATTAGAAGCCCACGTATTCTCCAGCGTCTCCTTCGAATAATACATCCAGAGACATTCTACACAGGTCATGATTGTTGCGTTACTATTCATGCTAAATGCTCACGTTAATTACACGAGTAATATTCAAATCTTTACTCACAAATTATATAACACAATTATGTTCACAGTTACATGCTTGATCCATCATTATATTATACATACATCTAAAAAAACGAAACAAGTGATCATCAATCGTTGTAATTGGTACAGCAATATATAATCTTTATTTTGTTTATTTTTAATCAAGACAATAAAGCGGCGTAGAACAGTTGATTCCAAGTGTCGGGGAGGCCAGGGAGGCACCAGTGGCTACAATCGGATGAACGATCAGGATTCTTCCGCTGGGAAGGGCTTAAATCTCCACCGTAGATGGAGGGATGGCCATCTTTACGAAGAGCAGAGAGCATGGAAATGTCCATCAAGAACACGGGGAGCTTCATCTGTTGGATCACTTGGTCGATCACTCTGTTTTGGTCCAAGTACGAAGTTGCTGGGTACGTTGCCCCGCTAAACGGCACCGTTTCGCCATAGCAGTTCTTTGTTCCCGGCGCTGCTGTCGTCGTCGCTGCCTTTTGCCTTGACATCCACTCGCTCGGGCTGCATTATTTACATAAATTTCCCAATAATTGTTATATATTTTCTCATTGAAAACATACGAATCAGGGCTCGGCAGTCGACCCATATTTTAATGAGAAATATAACCAAGTTCAAGAATTGGATAACGATGTAGAAAATATATATTTTTAAAATTTTAATATTTTTAAATATTTTTAAATATTTACTATTTTTATTATAATCTCATTTTCTTTATCTTATTTTAAAATTGTTAATCTATTATAATATACTATACATAGGATTAATAAAATTTAAATTATAGTATTTCTTTAATTAAATAGTTGACTCGTAAATCGGTTCATTTGTCTCCTAATCTAAAGCGAATCATAAAGAACCAAATATTTTTTGAATCGTTGTGGATTTTTCGAGACGGTGTGGACTTAGGCTTTGAATGGAGATGACTTTTATTTTGGGTTTTTGGTTTTAGTTTTTGGATTTTGGTTTTTAGTTTTTGGTTTTTGGCTTTTGGATTTTATAATATTTGAAAACTAAAAAAAAGTAACTTTTGGTTTTTCATTGATTTTTTCACTAAAATGGCTTTCCAAGTTTTTAGGAAAAATAATTTTGTAAAAATTTGAATGTTTTTTTTTTGGTTTTTGGATTCTAAAAACTCCAAAAACTCCCACCATTCAAGGCCTTATATGACTTAGACCATCCGTTTTACACCCATGTAAATTTTTTTTACCATATGTGAAAGCCCTAACAATGGATAAAATGGTCTTAATTTATATACCTTTAAAAGCACATGAGTTAACCTATTTTGCTTCTAGCGTGTGTCACTTTCAAGTATCTGAACCAAAGATTGTATAACAAAAAGAAAAAAAAAACATGGGTGACATCATTATATATAGGGCCTCCATCATATATTAAACCCCTAAAATAAATGTTATGATGGTTGATTGACTCAATAATCCACATGGCGTTATTTATTGACAACCCAATTGCTGTCGCAAGTGGCATGATTTATTTAATTTTATGCGAAAGCAAACTACATTTAATTTGGGCGGCAGACAGCTCATTTTTTGGACCGCCTTGAACGTTTACTCTTTATATCACTTCGGACACAAAAGTTCCATAGTTGTCAATGTGATATATACACACACACACACACACATATAGAGATAAGCAGAGAATTATATACATATTATGAAATTTGTAATTTATATATTTGCATATATTTGTTATACGTGTATACATATACATAGTACAATATCAAACTTTGTGCAAGCTAGGTCGCATTTCTTATGACCCAAAACACAATGAAGCCCTAAATTAAATGCACCCACCTTTTTCTTTGGCGTCTCTATTTAATGCACCAATTCACGGACAGTGCTCTGTTTCCTCTTCCGTTAACTTTGATAATTACACTAGTAAATGGTATAGTAAGTCTCATTATATATTCTTTTTAAAATTTTCCGTTAAAACGACGAGGATTCTGTGAACTTTGTCGTATTCCATTGTCCCCCATGAATGATTTCATTTAAATATAAAAAACATACACGTGCAAAGAAAAGTCCACTTCGCACAAATCTATGTATAATTTATTAAAAAATAATCTATGATATATCCTAAATATAATTTTAAGTGTTCAATGAACATTGCGTTACGACACAACTTTGACATGAACGATGTAAATCTCGTGACGCACGTGCATTTGCATGCACTACTTCGGACGATTTTTTCTACGTCTACTCATGCATAGAACTAATAACCTAATCTAGTACCCTTTATAGTATATACGATTCATAACTCAATTCAAATACTCTCAACGAAAATAAATTATTTTAAAAAATAAAATGGAGAGAGAGAGAGAGAGAGAGAGAGAGAGAGAGAGAGAGAGAGAGAGAGAGAGAGAGGCTTACTTGTAATGAGTGGGCGAAACGGAGAAGAAGAAGAGGCGAGTGAGAGTAGGGTCGATGTGGCGATGAGCCCAATCAGCCCACGTTCTCAGCCCTTTTCCCAACGCTTCGAGCCTATCCATGTCCCCGTAGGATATCCCTCCTGTCTCCATCTTGTCCCATCTGCACCCCCCCAATTTTCATTTTTCTTCCATTTCGCCCCATAGTTTCTTAAACGTTCAAAATTGCCCCCCCACCCCAGAAAATAATTTATAACAGAGAAAAGGGACCTTGACCGACTGACCCTCGGAGCGAGCCTCTGTGGATCCACCAGTGACCAGTGTTGAACAGCAGCACGTCAGCACTGCGCCACGTGGCGCTGGCGTAGCCGGAGATCTTGTCCAGTTTCAGGATTCTCCTCCCTTGTTCCTCCTCTATGTCCACTAGATACGGAGCTCTGTAAAACGACACCTTCACGCCATAATCCTGATTTCACCATACGTACCGCATATCGTTAAAAACAATACATACATACATACATACATACATACATACATACATACATACATACATACATACATACATACATACATACATACATACATACATATATATATTGAAAGTGTCAATGCAGTTAGTTACACATGGATGATGTGTGGTGAAAAATTCGTCCTTTTTAATCGGAATAAAAACAGTGGGCCAGGCAGAGAAGCCGTAGCCGACATCATGTTGGACAGCAACAGCACGGTCCAAACAACGTGAAGCGAAGCCGAATAACTTTTAATCCAATTACTAACGGCTGTTAATTAATTTAAAAATTCATTCGTTAGTTGATTGGATTTTCGACGAATAGTTTACTTACGAGGAACTTGAAGGTGGAGAGAGGATCTTTATTGATGAACTGGGTGTGAATGGACGGTGCAGATGCAGTGATCATGCAGATCAACGACTCCCATTGATTTCTCCCCAGCGAATCCCCAACGAACATTACCGTTTTGCCCCTCATCTCCGACAAGAACTTCACCCCGTTGAACCTTCCGAAAGACAAATTACGGGGAAAAAATTACAACAAAAAAAAAACTTTTTTTACAGTGCCCAGATGGTTGGAATAAACTCATGCAGTATATACAGACGAGCCACGTCATTGCAAAACGAATAAAATCTGAATGTTACTCGATAAAACAAGTATCGAATATCAATTTCTTTCTACGCAAGTTGCTTCTACATTAAATGAGTGTTTTTTTTGGCATTTACCAAAATTAAGAATTAATTTGTAGGGGACATTAATCATCAAGGTGTTGGTGAAGTTATGGAAAAAATGGGTACCTAGGAATGCGGCAGGAGAAGGGTTGCCACCGGAACTTGAGGTAGTCGGAGTCTGGCCGTCCGTACGTCTGGCAGTCGAACTCCCGGTCGATCACTCCGCCGCAATCCGACGGTCGGTAAAGCGGGTACGTCTCGTCCCGTACCCAAGCTCCCTCGAACAGTGAGCAACCGCTCCTGTTCTGCGGTCGCGGTCGGTGGTTCTTAGCGAAGTGGCTGTGGCGGGTGATGTTGTTGTGGTGGGGGAGGAGAGGGAGAGACAAAGCTGACGTGGCGAGTTGCAGTAGAAACAGGGTGAGAACGATTATACAGGGAGGAGCCGCCATTGTTGAAGAAGCTTAGAGAGAGAGAGAGAGTAAAGGAAAGTTGTGTTGTCGTGTAAGTGCCTAAGCTATGCATGGAGCGTATAACCTATTAACGAGGATGCGATTTATTTTATAAGGAAAATTTCGGGGGCTATTAATTTTTCGCAATAATTAGGTGTTTCTGTACTTTTTTTACCCATTTTTTTTTCACGATATTGAATCATTGATAGATATTGCATTAACTGCCCAGTCCTCGAAGCCCGATAATTTACATTTCTCGCATCTAATTTTACTATTAACTTTTACTAAAAACCCGAGGAAATGAAACTGCAACTATATAAAAAAAACATATATATACACACACATTCTCGATTTATAATTGGATCTGTCAAGGATAAAGTATAATTTAATTTGTAACATGTATATATATATATATATATATATATATTATAATGAGATTCTCGATCCTGGACGAAATATACAAATATTCTTTGCTTTGCCTCACCAACATGCATGGAATATGACCATATTCTTTCAACTGCTGAATGCCACGTCACTCTGCCATTATCCATTTATAAAATTTCCCAGGAGGAATAACCAAATAAACTGCTCATTTATTTCAAGGCCCATGTAAGAAAGCCCATAATAAATGGACCGACTTGTCTGGATTCTTCGTCATTTCCCTTGAACCCGACCCGAATTCTTTACTCAGTCTTTCTTGTTCGACCCTGACGCTCAATCTCTCGTCTCCCTTCGTCAATAACGTGCGTCTTCTTCTTCGGCTGAGGTTAGATCTTCTTCTTCTTGTGAATTTCGCTTCAAAAATTTACTGCCTGCTTCTTGGTTTTCGTTCTCTGTTTCCTGTTGTTCTTTATTCTTAGGGTTTTGAGGTTTATGTCCTTTCTGCATCTGTCTTTGATTGTTGAGAATTTAGCTTTTCACAGGTTCGGAAAACTTGCACTGGGTTAATTTGTGTGGGGGATATAGATGCCATGATACTCGTATATCATTGATCGATGAGATTTGAACTGGGTAGGCTCTGGTTAAAGTTTCGGCAGATCATTGTTTTCCCTCCACTCTCTGTTTATTCATTTCCCTTAGAAGTATATTTCGGATTTTTAGCTTTATTGCATCTGAGTTGAGAATCAGCTTGAAGTTGGCGTAAACTTGCTTTCTTTTTTATTTCGGCCGCAAGTGGTGGTGCCTACAAGGTGTTCGTTGAAATTCCTATGAGAAATGACCTAATTGAAAATTTCGAGATCCTGTGGCATTAGTTTCTTATTATTTCTTGTTGAATTACATCTGTTTAGCTCTTCAGTTTGTTTGTCCCTTCGATGACTATATGTCTTCTTCTCTCTGCGTCCCTTCAGCTTTGTTCTGGAAAGTGCCACACAGTTGTGGCTTTGATGGGCTTTCACATAAGTATGAGAAAAAAATATGTTTGATATATCCTGATTTAAATAAACTCAGGAATCTACTGTTTGTTGTTTTGATGTTACAATCAGTTGCCTGAAAAATTCAGTAGTTAAGTTGCTTAGAGACATGTTGTGTATGCGAGTATAGTTGTTTCATAGTGAATGTGCATGTAATCTCGTTGCATGAGTTAGAGACGTGCTTTCCCTATTGAAATTTTTTTGGATTAGTTTGTACATCCATATACAGACAGGTTGTCTCGCCTTTCTTTTCAAGTCATGGAGGAGAGTAGGGGCTATTACTAATCAAGCGAAGTAATTCGTTTGCCTTTTGCCGGATAGACCAATCTTTGCAGGTCTGAAACCATAACAGAGGACCAAGAACATTGTTGCGACCATGGCCAAGCATCACCCTGATCTGATCATGTGCAGGAAGCAGCCTGGCATTGCAATTGGACGACTGTGCGAGAAATGTGATGGCAAATGCGTGATTTGTGATTCCTATGTGCGTCCGTGTACTCTGGTCCGTATCTGTGACGAATGCAACTACGGGTCCTTCCAGGGACGGTGTGTCATATGTGGAGGAGTGGGAATATCAGATGCTTACTACTGCAAAGAGTGTACACAACAAGAGAAAGACAGGGACGGCTGTCCGAAGATCGTCAACCTCGGGAGTGCGAAAACCGATCTGTTCTACGAACGTAAGAAATATGGGTTCAAAAAAAGATGACGGGTGGTCTTGTTCTCGTTCTTGCACGGGGCAAGAAATCTGATCTGTTCTGCAAACTAATCTTATGCTCGGTCGGTTAGTGCCTTTGTTTACCCAGTTCAGAGATCTGATCTATTCTACAAACTATTGGAATACGGTTGCAGAAGAAAAAGGGTGATGATGGGTTTGTTTCTTTTTTCCTCGTGTCTTACTTATATATGGAACGAACCTGTTGTGATATCTGTGGTTGTATTAGTGTGTGCATGACAGTGAAATGTGGTTGGCGTGAAACAGAAGTGGCATTTCAAGTGTTGGATTGGATGTGTTGCTTCTATTGTTCATCGTGTTTCTTTGCATCAGGTCACATTGTGTTGCAGGCTCTGACTTTGGCGCCTTTGTGGAGAATCTCAGACAACGTGTTTTGACTTTGAATGATATATATATATATATTTTTTTCCTCTGTTCATGGTGGTGCAGAGTTTGGTTTTTCTTTCACGATTTACGTGGTGCATAAAGTTTCCCAATTTGCTTTTTTTGGGAATTTTTTTCTTATTTTTTTGGTTGTCCATGTTCAAACGAAATGGCACAAAATATCTTTGAGTGTTTTTTTTTAATACCATGATGGTTCTATGGACCCGTCTATATCGGGATCGTTCTTTGTATATAGATTATTTTGATTTTGATCCAGAAATTATATCTTTCTCTATCAATAGGATCGAATCTAAGATCTTAATGATGATTTTGTCATCTCTTAACTGTTATATATAACTTAGATTAATGAGTGCACATCAATAAATGAAATCTTTAATAGTTTTGTAATAATGCTTATTTTCTCGTTAAGCATGGTTTATGTAATCGTTCGTAGAAGAACCACCAAATAATCCACACGATAATTATTTTCTGCTTATAGAATAATAGGAACTACTACTAATCGGTTATAAATCCCAGCCGTTGAGCTGCAACTCGGTCGGAAAATCTCCATAAATCATACGAGTTTCCGTTTTTCACGAATCCATGTGATATTTGATGCGAATCCTTATAATGAATCACATGATGGCGACTTTAGAACTTCTTTTTCATCCAAAAGTCCCCAAAAAAAAAAAAAAACTTTTTGGGCAAAACCGTTGACTTTGAGAACGCCAGACATTGCTCGTCTCGTGTGCTTCCAGTGTGGATTCCACGATGCGTCCGCAGCCGGTCAACCCCACCATCCAATGAAGAACTGCCACGTGTCAAGCCCAATACATCCGAAACATATTATGTTTTGAGAATTAAGTGACAGTGTGACACCAACCCCCATCATTACTTCTGGTTATGGCGATGTTAATAATGCTATTATGCGAGCGAAGAACAATACCACAAGAAACGGAGCGTTAAACGAATCACTATTTTCCGATGTTAAGAAAAACAAAAAAAATATATATATATGTTTTTGTGATGGATATGTATATATATGTTACATGTACGTACATCATCATTAGCTATATTATATATTTTTGTGATTAGTTTCGATACCGACAGCCGACAGAGGCGCAGAGAACCTTCAAAACCAGAAAGCATATGGTTTAATTTGGGATAATAATAAAAAAGTGTAGCTTTTAAATGAAAATGATGATTTGCATCACAAAAAAAAAAAAAAGGAGTAAACTCTTTGTCGTGTAGTATCATATCCTCATGTTATAAATATTTATCCCTGTCACATTTATTTATATAACGTATATTTTATTTTGGGTGAGGACTTTTTGGTGTGTATAAATAGACAGAGAGAGGGGACATAAAATCCCAAAATCAGACAGAGAGAGAGAGAGAGAGAGAGAGAGAGAGAGAGAGAGAGAGAGAGAGGGTCGACAGTTTCCAAGAAGATTCTCCCAATCACAGCACGGAACATCAAACACGTGGTCCGAATGGGATCCAACAATCCCAATAATCAGAGTTTTCAGAATTTCGTGTGATTTTATTTATAATTTATGAGAGTAAATATCTCTGATTATGTGCTTCGAAAATCACAAATGTATTTATTGCATCATTCGAACGAACAGGTGTTTTCTGCGGCAATTCGGATGTGTATATGCATCTTCTTCGCAATTGCTATCGTCTCTTCAGCTCGACTCTCGCTTTCGTTTTCTGGTATTTCTATATTTACCCTCCCTTTTGTTTTTTATATTTTTTACCTCTCCAAATTCTACGTACAAGCTTTTTCCAAAATAGAAACTAAATACGAGAATGCAATAGAATTATCAAAAGTTACATGCATACTCCATATTTTTATTTATTTATTTATGCGATTATATATTCATCTCAACACCTATATATCGTTTTCTTTAATGGTATAAATATATCTACTTATATATTTTTACGGTTTGCTTTGGTTAAAACCCTAAGATCATGATTCATGTCTTTAGTCTCTTAATTTTATGCTTTTGAATGATACACTGAGAATGAGAAGATCTGCTCTATACGAATCTCAGAGTGCAACAAAATTATTAAAAGAAATCAATTTATTACATCATATTTAAAGTGCTGGGAGAACACAATATATATATATATAGACGAATATGTGTATAAATATACACATCTGTATGCATATGTATGGATTATATATATTGGTTGGGTAGGGTAAAGATAATGTTTTCGGACAGATATAAAAATTAGATTCACATGGATCGAATGATCAGTTAATACGTGAAGTCGGTGCACGGGCACGTTGAGCCTTTCAATCTGTGGTTCAGGTTTTCGATTCATATTTAAACTCTGCTTTTAATATTTTGTGGATATTTTTCCAAGATTAATTAGAAAATTTTAAATGTCCAACCGTTTTTTAAATTTTTTTAAAATCAAGTTATAAAACTTTTTTTTTTCATTATCTTAAAAAAAAATCTACATTTTTTCCCAATACTTGTAGTTTAATAGGCTTGTGTACTCGTTCATTAGATTTTTATCAAATAAAAGGAGATACATATAAAGGATCAGATATTAAAAATATTATTTCTAAAATGTTTTCCATATATTTATAATTCATTGCATCTTTAATTATTTATATCCCAACATGGAACGCAAAGCTCGAGGTTGTCTTCCCTAGTTCATGAATATGACAATTACACACGGTCATATCTCTTTTTTAATTTCCTGATTCAGCACAATGACCTATTTCTTTAATATTTAAACAGACAAATCATGTAAGAAAGACGTCGACGAAACTATAAGCTAAGCTCAATAATATTTAATTCAAAGTTCAATGTCGTTCATATACACCGAAACCGTTGACATTTCAGGTCCGAACAAAAACCCATGTTAGATAAAATTCATGGTTAGACAATATTAAATTAGATTTTTTCAAGATATAGTATGTTTTTAAAATGAAAAACGTACGATATATAGTTTCATATATATTGTGGTGTACTTATATATTCATATATATAATGGATTGGCAGAAAATGAAGCGGGGATGGTGAAAGGGAGGTCGCTGTTGCTGAGCACCAACGACTACGACGACCCGTCGGCCAATGGCAGACATGACCCGCCCGGTCGACGCGGCGGCGGGGGCGGCCGGAGAGGGTGAGAAATACAGTATATATATGCCTCATCATTTCAAGAACTTGTTTCTTGTCCTTGACATCATATATCTATGTAGAGCAATAAAAACAAAAACCAAAAAAAATCTGTAATATCAGATTAATAAACAAAGAATATATTAATGTCTATGTGTGTTTAATTTGGATTTTTGTTTTGATGGAAACGCTACATAATTAGCCGAAATGAAACGCGAAGATGATGATAAAAAAAAACTATGGTTGGGTTATGGATTTAAAGCACAGATTGGGCCTTGTTTAGCCCAAAATGTGGTTGGGCCCAATAAAATTACCCTCTCGGGTTTTAGTCTAAAACCCACACATTTTTATCAGTGGATTAAAAAAAGGAAAATTGAAAAAGCACCTATTTTAATTATTTACCTCCATCTTGCAAAATAAAAATAGAAATAATAATTATTCATGCATGCCATGCCCATGCCCCCATCCGTTCCTTGCGCATCACGTCGTACGGCTTCTGTCAAAGTTTTTTTTTAAATATTAGAAAGAATTATGCTGTGGTATATACATATAAGTATATACCATACACGTATGAACACTGTGAATTTTTTAAACTAATTCCAAGGACAAATCTTATAGCTTTGAATTTCATAAACAAAGTTTAGAATATTTTGGGGGAAATCATTTCTTCAAGATATTACAATTCCTTGGAGATACATACCGAATAAGAGAATCAGAGAATATTTCATTGACAAATCGTACCGAGTCACAAATTCCACTAAATGCCACGTGGCGTTACAGAATCTGGCACGTAGGAGCAGTATAATCCTTCATCAGAGGCGGCTGGTCGCCGTCGAGAATCATTCCAAAAATTTAGGGCGATAAAAATTCCTCGGTGAAGAATCACGTGAGAGAGGGATTCTTCTTATCATCTTCCATAGCAGCTTTTTCTTCACCCAAATCTCGGAACGACACCCCCTAATCATGTCTTGGATCAAAAACATCGTACGCATCGCCTCCACAGCCAGCTCCTCCCCGACCCGACCCGGTTTCCGAAGCCCCGGGTCCATCCTCACTCTCTCGACCCGCTTCAGCACCGCTCTGCACCAGCAGCAGCAGCAGCAGCAAGAGATCGACACCGTTCATCGCGAGACTCGGACTCAGTCGACGGCGGAGAAAGGCCCCC